GTTTTCAAATGTAAGCATATTGATACTATAATAGAACTAATGGTATAAAACAGGGGTCCCCAAACTACGGCCCGCCACGTCATTTGGTCCGGCCCCCTGAACAATACCGGATCCGGCCCGCCTCCTCATACCAGAGAGCATTCAGTGTTTTTTGTCATATATTGTATTTTCTGGTTTATATGTGGATTTTTCTTCAACCACCAGGGGGCTCTTGAGCAGATGTGAAACTTACTTTCCCTCAATGGTATACATACCAGTCAGTCCCAGTCACCGTTACACTCACGGTTTTTTCCATTTGCATTCTGGGTAAAAATCTACCTAAAAGCGCAATGTGTCGTCGTCGTCCCCCCCCCCCCCCCCCCCCCCCCCCCCCCCCCCCCCCCCCCCCCCCGACCCCCACTANTCCAAAAACTAAGACCGGCCCCCGACCAGAAAAAGGAACAGCTATGTGGCCCTCGCAGGAAAAAGTTTGGGGACCCCTGTAGTAAAGCAATAATTGGCGTAATAAATTTATATCTCACTGCAGCAAACTACAGAATTTCTAGTTCTTCTGTAATGTCTATTACGGTAGGACTTCAACAAGGTTTAAGACTATCTTTTTTTTTTTTTTTTCAAATAATGCTTCCTTTAAAAATGTAAATAATTACACTAACTTTTACACCAGAAGAGACCATGTGATTTCTTAACATAACATCATGTAAAAGCTGACATTCTTAAAGTGAAAATAAATGAGAAATTTTTATCATTTCAGAAATTTTTCCCTTTTATGTTGGACATCAGAAATGGCTTACGTAGCAGTCAAATTATCCACACATCTTCCATTTCCACTGACAAGTTCATTTGAAAACATGAATCATCTCTCTACTATCCAGCAACAACAAAACAATGTTTGTGTCGAGGAACACAATGTGTGACAGAGCAAACAATACCAAAACACTGCTTGGGGTGCAAAGAGTTAATGAAGCAAAACTCTTGAACGTAAGAGGGGGGAAAAAGTAATTTAGAAAAAGAAAAAAGAGCAATGTATTCTCATAAAACTGCAAAGTGTGCATCAGCTCTATATTTCACTGGCTATTATGCCTGAAGCTACAACTTTACCACATAAATATGGATTGAAAATCTCTGTCTAAACAAAACATTAAAAACTCCACCAGCGAAAAAGAAAACATACATTCTTTTAACAATTAAGATGAAAAATCTGCAGTCTTGATGAGTTCTGCTTTTGCAAAAGGAATGTTTTTCTTGCATAAGGACGAATAAAATTAATCTCATTTTAATATAGATGTATTTAGATTTTCTCCTAATAATCCTTAATTCAATTCATTATTCCTTTTTTGATAAATTATAGGTTTGTAAAGTAGTCTTTTTTTTTCTTTGTCTTATGTTGTTTATTTACCAAAATAAGGTGAAAGTCAAGATTTTCTCCTACATATAATAAAAATAATCATTAAGACAACAATTTCATGCATGCATACAAACTTTTTGTTGCTAACTTTATATTTCAAATAAGATTATGCAAACAGAAAACAAATGTTAGATTATCTAAAGATGAACAAAACAATCCTATGCTTCATTTATGTTTAGGCAAATCCCTTATTTTTATCATTTCAGAAATGTAACATTCTTTAAAATACAGCAAACTTTAATTTCACAGAAGGATAGTTCTGATTTTGTGAAAGTAAAGAAGATATGGATGGGAAATGCAGCCAAGAGATCAGGTGTGACTGCAGCTTAGTTCAGCAGGAGCTCAGCTTAATGTCAAAGAATTCATTCATTGTGTGTCCATACTATGCGATGCCTCGTTCGTCTGATAAAAAAGCACTGCACAAATCGGTGAATGGAAAAATTAAATGTGTTCCACAAACGCATACATCCACTTCTGTGTAAAAATAAAAAATAAAAAAAAAAGGTCATCAGAAAAACTTCTCAGTTTCTCACCTTTCCCGTAGCATAATAATTTTTGGCTGAGTTTGACATCTCTTGCTGAGGGTGAAGATCTTGTTGATGATGCGCCGTGCTTTGCTTGCAAGCTGCTGTGTGCCGAGCTCTAGCTGTTTGTAGCGCTGGTGAATGGACGGCTCCGTCTTCCAGAAATACTGGATGGCAGACGAGTTCAGGGCGTAGAATGTGGGAAGCCGTCGAACAAAATTTTGAAACTCTTCTGGAAAGCAGAAAGATGTGAAAAATGAAAATCTCAATTTCTTCCTGTCACATTCAGGGCGAGGTAACTTCTTTTTACGTTGCTCTAATTATATTTGGCTAGTTTAGACATGGCAAATGAGAACATTTCGTTTTAAGGGTCGTGGGATTTCAAGTGCTGCAGGGCTAAATGAGAAGAATATTGGTTGACGTGTGTGCTAATGGGAAAAGGCAGGGCTAAACACAGATTGGGGTAGGGTTCTCCCCCTTTTCATTAATGAACAGCCTACAGGTCTTTCAATGCTCTGGATGCAAATCAGTCGGGGAGAAAAACAAGGTGGACATGGAGCTCAGAGGATAATATCTGTCAGCAATTCAGAGCAACTGTTTACTGGATGCATTCTGAATAGAAAGCAGATTAGATTTCCAGGCATTCAATAACAACATCACCGTCGTCATCATCATGATTGGATGTATTGAAAATCAAACATGTGCAAGACTGATTAGAAAATGACCGTGCTGCTGTTTGTAATTACTTAACGCTATCGTGATGATGAGGCAGCTGATTAGAAAACCAATTAGGTGTCAATAGCTTCCCAAGTGATTGTGCAAGGTGTGTGTTGTTGTCCTGGGAAACTCATGTATTGATTAAACAAGATTGTAAGGAAATATTTCTGTGTAAATGAGCATTTGGGTCCACATGAACAATGACAAAGTGTGAACGTCCAAGAGGTATTGCTACTTTTGGAAATTCCTTTATGTGCAGGTTACAAAGCTGTATTAGAATTTTATTGGAATTTATTTCTGACAAAGCGACACAAAGTAGGGAAGTGGAAGCAAAAAAGAAATAGATTTCACAAAGCTTTTATAAATATCTGGAAATTGTAACCTGAGTCGATAATGCAGAATTGCCTGTCACTGCAATCATTGTAGTTGTAGGTATTTTGCGGAGGATTTCCATCACCTTCTCATTTTTTTTTTTTTTTTTTTTTTTTTTTTTTTAAATTTTTTTAAATCTGTTTTTTTTTTTAAAAAAAACCTGGAAAAAAAATGTTTTTTTTACATGA